GTTGTGTGGGCAATTGACTGGACACTATCCAGTAGCAAGCTGGCTTCGACCCGCATGTAGTTTCGTTAAGAGAAATTTATCGGATCTGAAGTGGGATGATTTGATTAGTGAACGTGCGCTAACTATGTTAACAAATATTATGGATCGAATCGATGAAAGAGGCCCAGCCACTGGCAAATGGGCTGTGTCCCCTGGAGAAGAAGGAAAAGTGTGGTGTGACGCAAGCAGCCTAGCGATTGGAGTTTGTCTAGAAATTGAAGGTGAGATAGTCGAAGATGCTTCTTGGCTGAGGAAGCAGCATGACTCAGCACATATCAATTTAGCAGAATTGGAAGCTATCCTAAAAGGAGTGAATTTGGCTCTCCGTTGGGGGTTAAAGAAGATCATCATAATCACGGATTCGGCGACAGTTCATGCTTGGGTGTCATCTATACTGACAGGGGACCGTCCTATCAAAACACGTGGGGTAAGTGAAGTTTTGGTTAGAAGACGATCAAGCCTATTTAAGGACATTATTTTGGAATGCGGTCTCAATGTACAAATAGAACTCATTAAATCACAGTTCAACAAAGCAGATCTTCTTACAAGAGTACCAAAAAAGTGGTTAGCAAGAAACGAAGAGACTAGCAATGCACTTGTGTGTGAGAATGAGAGTGTGGACCAAAAGACATTGGTGAAACAGGTTCATGACTTGCATCATTTTGGCGTTAACCGTACTTTATTCACCGTCAGACGGTGTCATCCACACAAAAGTTGTTGAAGAAGTTGTGAAAAGTTGTAAAGAGTGTCTGTCAATTGATCCATCCAGCATCAAATGGGAGCCTGGGTATTTGGATTGCCAGAACAATTGGTACAGGCTTGCCATTGACGTAACACACTATGGTCAAAGCAAGTTCATGACCATTGTGGACTGTGGTCCAAGTAGCCTAGGTTCTGCATTTGGCGCCGGATCCCCAAAGAGACAAAAGATCAGATTTCTAAAGTGTTGTTGGAATTGTTTACTGATCGAGGGCCGCCACATGAGATTTTGATGGACAATAGTGCAACGTTTCGATGCGAAGAGATTACTCAGCTCTGTGATAAATGGGGTGTTAAAATTGTGTTTAGGTGTGTCAACCGGTCAATTGGAAACGAGATAGTTGAGCGAAACCACAGAACAATCAAGCGTATGGCCGCAAGAACTAGAGGGAGTATCCAAGAAATGGTCTATTGGTACAATTTGACACCTAAAGAAGGATTAGATGGCGGTTCATCGCCGAGTTCCCAGATTTTTTCGTACCAATGGCGATGTAAAGGTGAACCTATAAAAGGTGAAGTGTATTAAGGGTCACATTTTACAGTAGGTGAACGTGTGTTTGTCAAGCCGCCAAACCCATCCTGTACTTCGAGATGGAAGGAAGGAGTGGTTACTGGACAGTTTTCGCCAATGAGTGTTGAAGTTAATGGCAGGCCTCATCACATAGCAGATGTGCGAAAAGTAGTTGAAAGTGAAAACGAAAGTGTAAGCTGTGTCGGCACCTCGAGGGCGTGTAGTGGTGTTGACACCACGGGGGCGAGTAGTTGTGCACTAGCATCAGCTGACTAGTTTGCTTTATGTTTACGTTTTTGGATATTTTGGTTGTCATGGTGACAAATGTTGGGTTGAGTTGAATGAATGTTTAAAAGAAGGTTCGATTTTTTTGTCGTGATTTTCAAAGTGTAAAATATAACTAAGTTGTAGAAAGTTCTTGAAGAGTTTTATTTTCCCACATTATTCACCTGTCATCTGAGATAAATATTGCACTCGCACATAAAGAACACATGATACTAAGTATCACTGGACTTAAGTAAAGCATACGACAAAGTCAATGTTTCTGTTTTACTGAGAAAGATGTATTTATTTGGAACCCACCTCACTTTATCAACCACCTCCATAAGTGGCTAGTAGATAGAACAGTCAGGCACAAGCTAGATGGATTTTCAGACAGGAGAAGTACCTGCACAGGATTGCCGCAAGGTAGTGTCCTTAGTCCCATCCTATTCGCACTGTACATATCCGATTTAAACTTTAACTTACCCGAAAAGGTTAAATCCTTACAGTATGCAGATGATATTGTTCTGTACAGTGCTGACAAATCAATCGAGACTGTAACAAATAAGGTCCAGGGAGCCTTAAAAGAATTGGAAATATTCACTGATAAACTTAATTTGGAATTCAATCCCAGTAAGTGCAAAACCATCTGTTTCTCGAGAAGTAGAAAAATATTACGTGAGGAAATCACCCTCTTTCTACAAGGCCATCCTATCCCTGTTGAAGATCAATTAACACTACTGGGAATAATTCTGGACACAAAACTTACATTTAAAAACCATATAGCATACGTACAGACACAGTGTTTCAAGGACTTAAATATATTGAAAATATTGGCCTGTGGGGATAAAGGAGCTCACCCATCCCTCATCCTGCAAATATATGAAGGTCTAATTAGGCCTAAGCTTGAATATGCAAGCTTTCTATTTGGGCATGTAGCTACAAATATATTATACAAGCTTGACTTAATCCAAAACCAGGCACTAAGGATTGCTATTAAAGCATACAAAACTACACCAATCATAGCCCTCAACTCTGAGACCGCATCAATTCCTCTGAGCATTAAAAGGAAAATGTTGACAGAAAGATTAACATACAAATTCTGACTAGTAACGACCATCCAGCGTTTCAGCATATAATGTATTTGCACACTATGGTTGTTAATCTACCATGTTGGGCGTGCCAAAAAAAAACACTATATGTAGAAGCCACTGCCATTTAGTGAAAATTATCTAAAAGAAGAAGGAAACATTGTTATTTTTTCAGATTCACAATCTGCAATAAAAATCTGTCAAAGGTCTTTATCATTCAAATGAAGTTGTTAACAAAATATTATCTGAATTAGACAAAAGCCCAAAGTTCTATGCACTCCATTGGGTCCCAGGACATTCAGACATAATTAACAATGAAGTAGCTGACAAATTAGCAAGAGAAGCTATTGGTGATGGCGATGTTGTAGATATTCACATCCCCTTCTTGGACTACAAGATACTTAGAAAGAAAGTCCATAGAGAATTCTACAATGATTTAATTTTACAATCCACTAAAGGGCTATGGCACAAAAATGTACATTACATTACATTACATTACATTATTTGTCATGAGAGCCGAAGCCCCCTGACTGCATACCCGGTACCTATCCTTTAGGACATACCCGGGCCCCATGATGTAGGCCGAAGCTTACGCATCAACCTTTTGCACATCATGGGCGGATGACTTAAGGTCATCAGGCTCGCCGGCTGCCGAAGCAGACCCTTCGGAAGGAGGGTTGCCCCTCAATCCTAACCAGGGATTCCGGCTGCTTGTTTAAGCGTCACTCCACCTGGGTTCCACTAGGTCAGGACCTAGAGGTCCATGGTAGAGCGCCCCGACGCATTTAGTGCAAGCAACACTCGGGACCTATCTAATCCCTGACAGGCAGAACCCGCCATCAATAGCCAGGAGGAAGGGGACCGTCAGTACGCTGACGGGGGGAACCCCAACCTCCCATTTACACCACTACCCGATCGAGGCCTTACCCATTGCTGGGAAACCAGAGATAACCAGAGCGATAGATCCCCAGATACCCCTGGCGGGCTCGGACCCAGCACCCGATCTACTTCGTTTGCCCGTCAGACCCAACATCACTGCCAGGCCATCAGGGTTTCCCAAAAGGAGGCAGGTATAGAAGTGGGACCCACCCGGATGAACCTATCCACCAGAGGTGGCGACACCCTTAACTCAATTGAGGTTCCGGGAAAAAAAATGTACAGGAGAGATTGCCAATAAAACCATGGTTCACTCAATCAACAACAGGAATGAAATAACAAACATATGCAAACTTAGTCTAGGCCATGCCAGAGTGAATAAGTATCTCCATTCTAAGAACATGTACTTTACCCCACTTTGTTTGAAATGCACTAAAGGAGAAGATGAATCATTGCAGCATATATTTTGGGGCTGCCCAAATTATAATTATTTTAGAGAAACACTCCTTAAAGAAACACTTAGAAAGTATGGAAACAACCTACAAGAAGCCCTAAAATCTGGAAATGATCACATTTACAAGGAAATAAACAATTATTTGAAAGAAATAGGAAAAGTAGTCTAAAAAAACAAAGAAACACTAACACTATTAGAATCACATTTATGTTGTCCACTCTTGCACGGCCGCCTTTAACTACAGGCCGCGGCCTTCGAACTGGCAACATCGCGAGTGGTGTTGTAACAGCTGATTTTTTTGGAAGCAACTAATGGTATTTGTGTATTTACGAAAGATTGAATACTGGACTATGACAATATTGACTCCGCTTACAAATGTACAGATATAGATTTTAATTCATATTGTTTCAATTTTTAATTCTGTATGTTTTATTAATATTTTAATAAATTTATGTTCATAAATTAAAAATTAAATCAATAAAGTGCGAATTAATGAGCTGATGTCACCTGTCTGCCATGTTATCTTATGGGACGTCTGTCACTGAACAACACCACTTGCGATGTTGCCAATTCTACCAGGCCGCGGCCTGTAGTTAAAGGCGGCCGTGACTCTTGGGTTTCTTAATCCGTGGCCCTCCTCTGGGTAGTTAGGTATGCCTGATGCAAGATTATCAAAAGAAAAATTTTTCTTTTAATAACCTTGTGCCTGATGGGCCCCTGGCAAAGAAGATCACCTATCTCTACCATCCTAAAGAATCCCTTGAACCTTTAAAAAATCCTATCTTTAATACATAATTAGGTACATTGACAAAAACTAGAACAATATCAACATGAAACATTGATTGTGCACATATATGTTCAATAAAAAAAATTTTGTAAAACCATAGACTAACCAACAAATAACCATAATTGCAGGATGAATTGGAAGCAACCACAACTCAGTGTACATCGAGGCTGCCTGGTCTATTAAACCGAAGCCTGCTAAGCAAACTAGAGGAAAAAAAAACTTTTAGGTTATGTTGATCATTTAACAGATCAACACTCAACAACAGAGATCCGATTTGGCGATTTCTGATTATTTAATTATTTTAATACTTAAAATGAACGTAATTTTTAAATGCAGAAAATGTAGAACACCTTTAATAGACTATCCTAGCTACAGTCTTGTTAATGCTCATGGGCATTTAATTCAGTTAGCATTAAATAATAATTCACCAAAAATAGATTTTATAGATACAACTGAGCAAAGTGGAAATTGCGAAGACTCACGCAACCAGTGTTCGTCCTTAAAGCAAGATGTGTTTTACATTGATGATGTCAATGTCCCTGAATGGATCACTTTATGTATTGATGAGGTAGGTAATAAATGTAAAAATATTAATGGTTTTTATAAAGTAAATTTAGGTACTATCCTAGGCTTTATTAAGGTTAAATGGGCTTTCAGTATGTCCTAGGCCTAGCTCGGTAGCTGAATGGCTACAGTGCTCTCGCTCGCTTAGTGATCTAAGTAATTAACCCTTGCCGACAGACCACCACCACCCACCACTGCCCGAGCGAACACCTTTATCGCAACGATACGTTGGACAGCCGTATGTCTCGGTGGTGTAGTGGATAGCGCACCGGGCTGATAATTCGGAGGTAGCCGGTTCAAAACCCACCGGAGGCATTAACTTTTTGACTCGATTTTTTTTCATTATCAGCAAGTTTGGTTGGTTTGGTTAGGTTATGATAGTTTAATTTTATAGGTAATTTAAAGGCTGCACTTTACTTTAGGTCCTACACTCATTCGAATGAAAAGTTCGATTATTCGATTGTTTAATTCGATATATCGTTTGGTTAGTTAGGTTAGGTTAACCTTACCTAACTAACCAAACGATATATCGAATGAAACAATAGATTTATTCATATATCGATCGATATTTTCAATCGAATGAGTGTAGGACCTAAAGTAAAGTGCAGCCAATTTAAAAAATATATAATTGATTTTGAGACATTTATAATTTTATTTTATGAACAGAACTATTATTGTTATTAGTAAACCTTCATTCGAAATTTTCATTATCAGCAAGTTTGGTTAGGTTACGACAGTTAAATTAATTTAAATTAAACCTACAAACGACACGTTTTGACAGCAATTTCCCACAAAGAGTTCGGCTATGCACGGTATGATGCGTTCTGCACGGCGCAGTGGTGGGCGGTGGCGGTCTGTCCGTACGGTCTCGTATCAAAGTATAGTATTCTTAGTTGACTGGAACGGGTGGCATCAATCCAGCTAGGCCTACTAGGAGGTCACGAATTGTGGATATTTATAGGCATGCACTGTGGATGCGATACTCCCTGGTGTGGATTAACGTCCGCACGAGTGTAATACTGAACTTATACTACTTGTGTTATATTGCATTATTTTGCTTTATCAACCTAAATTATACTACTCTACCTATTTTTTTTAAGCGCTTTTTACCATTGGCACTTTTGGGGGAAAACGTCTATTTCACCCTGAAAATCGTGTTTGAAAATCAAGAAAAATGCTAGAAATCTGTGATTTTAGACACATGAAAAACTTTTAAGGTAGGCTACAGTTAACGTGACTAACTTATGCTAATATCAATTGAAACTATCAAATTGAAAATATCGTTTGGTAATCAATCTATTTACCAGGTATAAGTACAGTACAAACTCAATAATATTCACCCTATGGATATAAATAGCACATCAGAACACAGCTTATCTTTTGCCATTTTAACTTAACAAAGTCATTTTTCCATTTCTTGAAAAAAAAATCCTGTAATTGACGTCCTTGTCCTACTTGACATTCCTTTTTAGTCACTTGAAAACTGCATCAAATACTCCTCCAGCATTTCTTCAGGAATCACTTTAGTTTTAGGGCAATCCTTAGCTTCGGTTCAAGCAAATCTGTGGGGTGACGTTGAAAAGCCTCGAACTTCAAGTAGCTTATTAGAATAGCCCCCCCCCCCCAAAAAAATAAGGAGCCAACGTAAAGCTTTCGGCAACAAAAGCTTCCTGGCAAATCTCTTTAGACTTTGAGTTACTGCGACTTGCACTCTTTCAACATTTGCTGGTGTACAAAGAGTTTTGCGGTACCCACCGATTATTTTTAAGGTTTAAGCGTTTATCCTTTAAATAATTTTACCCAGTTCACCATTGTTTTCCAATCTGGAACAGCACTGTGTTGACCAAGGATGGAATGTGGTCGAAAAAATCTCTGGATTTTTGCACAAGAATCTCTATTTTAAAAATAGGGTTCCACATCAAAATCTCAGTGCTAATAGCCTCAGGCATAATATTTACTAAAATGGCATAGTTTAATTGATGTTATAAGCACAGCTGTTCATTCATTGTTGTTTTACTTATAGTGTGACAACGAAAGAAAATTGGGGTGCTCCCACTGCCTCACCCTGTATATAGATTATATTATAATTATATAATAAAATGTTGAAACAAAAATCGGGACTGAGGTGAGGACAGAGAGTATGGGTCTAATGTGGCCTGCGACTGTGGCTGCGCGTAATAAACAGCATATGATAACATGGCCCGCTGGTGAAGCGACAGTCGCGTGGGCTCGCAACTAGCAGCAAGGGTGCGCGACTGGAGTGACCAGTTGCGGCGACTGTCGCGTGCCTCGCCACCGCAGTTGTGTCGCTTAATAAGCTCCTAAGCTAATGATAAAATGGCCCGGTAAAAGGGGCCTTTGAGCAGTCGCGGTCGCCCGCCCCTCGAGTGGCCAGGCATAATAAAGCTCTTAGAGTAATTGGAGGTTCCACTCTAGACGCTCATAGTAAACATTCCTTGCGTTAAAAATTCAAACTGTTGTTAATTTGTACATTTTTGATCTCATGTCTTATGCTTTAAAGAATCTACACTCATCTCCATTCATACTTGGCTTAAAATACCTACTTTTTATGGTTGCCATTTAATAAGAAAGTAATAAAGTATTATCAGTGCCTAGTTTATATTGTTGTTAATCCTTTAATTGTCTATAAATGTTTAGTCGACTGTTGTTTATATTTTAATTGTCCATCAACGTCTGTTGCAATTGTTAATTTTTGTAAATTGTTATCATAATTTCTGTCATCAGTAGGCCTATATTGTTGATGGTTCATATAATTTCTTTGTTAAATTATCATATTTATTTATAAAATGTATTTATTGTTAAATCACATTCCATACTGTTAGGTAATCCACAGAGCTGACACCTCATAAATTAACATATTGGACATGTTATTTGTAATGTCTAGCCTAACTGTAGCCATGCTATATACATGACAATTGTCAATGCATTTTTTGTAATGTCCAATGACAAATAAATTATTCGATTCAGATATTTTCCTGTAGATGTGCAGAATCCCTTTATAAATTAAAATATAAACAGAAAATCAAAACAAATAGAAGAAATTCCAACCTCATGTTTTCAGGGTTAGGCAAATGTGTGGATACCCCTAGTTAACTTTTTAACGCGTTGCAATAGGAAAACCAAACTCAGCACATATTTACAACATAAGATATTGCACTTTTTCATCCAAGTTACAACTTTGCCCCAGCCCCCAAAATGGGGTATTTTGGGGGCAGCCCCAAATTTTCAAATGTAAACACCTATCATGTGACCCATCATTTTAAAGGGTTTATCAAGGGAAAATGAATGGCGCAAACCAGAGGTCAATATCCCACGCCTAATCAAAATGGCAGCCATTTTAATTATTTAAGATGAGCAATCATGATATAATCTAGACACCCCCAGTTAACTTTAAAAATTAAATATTTTAATACTGACCAAAAGGTGAATTCTCTTTTTTCATAAAGGTATGCTGAGTTTAGTTTTCCTGCTATAACCTGTTAAAAAATTAATAGGGGATATTCCAAAATGACTGCCATTTTGATTAGGGGTGCGATATTGACCTCTAGTTTGCGCCATTTAATTTGTCTTGAGAAACCATTTAAAATGAGGGGTCACATGATAGGTGTTTACTTTTAAAAATTTGGGGCTGCCCCCAAAATACCCCATTTTGGGGGCCGGGTACAAGTTCTATTTAATGAAAAAGTGCATTTTTTTATGTTGTAAACATGTGCCGAGTTTGGTTTTCCCACTGCCATACGTTATAAAGTTAACTGGGGGTGTCCAGACTTTATCATGATTGCTCATGTTAAATTAAAATGGCTGCCATTTTGATTAGGCGTGCGATATTGACCTTTGGTTTGCGCCATTCAATTTCTCTTAATAAACCCTTTAAAATGAGGGGTCACATGATAGGTGTTTACATTTGAAAATTTGGGGCTGCCCCCAAAATACCCCATTTTGGGGGCTGGGGAAAGTTGTAACTTTGATGAAAAAGTGCAATTTCTTATGTTGTAAATATGTGTCGAGTTAGGTTTTCCTATTGCAACGTGTTAAAAAGTTAACTAGGGGTATCCACACATTTGCCCAACCCTGTATAGAGCATGGGTTGAAAAAATAGAGAAGTCTGTACATTCAATATTTTTGGTTGAGTTTTCGACCACTGGACGACCTCTAGTATGTTATAATAAGTTAAGTAGAGTTCCAGATTAATATTTCTTTTCGAAACATGTTTGTTTTATTCAGACGTTTAGTAAATGTGGTTTTAGTATAAAAACTAATCTCTTGTGCTTGTCAGTAATGTAAATCATATAACGCATAGGTTCTAGACTCTTAGAGCAAGGCTATGATAATTTTTGTCCTGAAAACCCTTACATTTATCCTTTAAAACTACCTATGAGAATGTTGAGGAGAGATATAGTATATATTTCTGATATTGTACTTCATTACGTTTATTTTATTAGGAAATTATTATGAATGCCATATTCCATTATGTAAGTTAGAACTTAGAGTTGTGAAGTAGCAAATATGCAGTCTCTTAGGGCAATTGTCGGCTTTTAGCGCCGGTAACAGAGTCATAAACCATCGTCCTTCTGCAAAAGGACGGGCCCTTCCTCACCACTTTTAGAAAGTTGTAACCCCAATCGAGGGTGAGGAAGGTGTCTTTTATTCAGTCAGTGCATCGACGAGCATCACTTTATTAACTTCGCATAGTTTTCGTATAGGAAAAGTAGAAGTATTTGTGTGAGGCAGACCCCTCCACGTAGTTCATTAGTCTTAATTCGCATTCAATAGTAGGCTATAGTACATTCACATTAGTTTCGTTATAGCATTTTTATTCATCACAGTGTTAATTATACAGTCCACTAATATCCATTTCTACATCAATAAAATCATAGTTCATTTTATAGACCAAAACCATATCTTTAGTGTTTATGTGCAGTTTTTAACACTTTTTCTTGTTACCTTTTACACAACATTTTAATACGTTTTAAGAGTAGATTTATGAGTGTGATTCATTGGTTTCGATAACAGTTTCTGTAGGCCTAGCACAAAATTGTGTTTATTTTACAACGGTTGACAATCACTTGAGACTTGAGATAGATGACAAGGTTGTTACAGTAACACAATGCTCTATAGCCTAAACAGCACCAATACCCGAGCATGATAAAATGTCATTAAGTATATAATTTATTTTATTCCAAATCTAAGACTGTACCGCTGTTTTATACTATCAAGGACATCGTACTTTTCCAGGGCCTATATTTTATTTTTTAACCTCTTGAACGAATGAAACACCTCGAGCAATGCTCGGTCCCCTGGTACTTTATTTATAAACAATTACAATAGCTACAGGTATGAACCCAAAACAGCTATAATGAAAAATAATACAATAACATAAAGCCGCATTTACACCACAGTTAGGAACAACTTGTGTTTTAAAAACAAGTGTTACCAACAAAATATTTGGAACTTTTTATTGTTAACACTTGTTTCTAAAACAAAAGTTTACAAAAGATAGTGTACTTTTCTTTGATTTTGTTGGAAACAATTTAATCACTGTTCCCGAGAACACGAGGTCAGTCCCTCTCGAGATAGTCATGTGGCAGTGTGTATGCGCAAGGTATAGGGGGGAAAGTATTGTATTCAGCGTAGAAGTACAAAAACATTCTTCCAAAACAAATGACCCTTATGTTTGAAACATCCTTTGATCTTTACCGACTTCTGGTGGGAAAAAATTAGTTCTTAACACGTGTTCTTAACTCCGGTGTAAATGCGGCATTAGGTATAATTTTATTGTAATGTGAAATAAATTTAAACTGTAATAATAATAAAGTGAATATTTCAGGGGGATTGGACCAAAGGAAAGCTGAAGTGCCCCCAGTGTACAGCAAGAGTGGGCTCTTTTGACTTTGTATCAGGATTCCATTGTCAATGCCAGTTATCAGTGGTTCCCTCCATTCACTTGGTTAAGAGTAAAGTGGACTATAGAATTTCTTAATGTTCTCAGGCAGACACTATAACTCTTTTGTAAATAGCATACAATACGAAATTTGTACATACTTGTTTGTAAATATACACAACTACTGAATTATTCGTGTTCTAATTACATTACTTTCCAACGCAAATAGTAATTTAATTGAGTTTTTATAAAAATTGCTTACTGTACTCACTTATAGAGTAGCAATACTTACAACAGATTTTTTTTTATTTCATATCTTAATTAATGATATATTTAAAGTCAAATGCAAAAAAGATTAATAAGTTAAATTAAATAAACCACAATGTAAAGCATTACGAGCTGGTGAAATATTAAGGCCTAACTCATCAAAAAACAAGTTAAGTGTGTTTGTAATTATCTATCTGTCCTAAGATGCGTATCCAAAATACTAACTTCAAACTTAGCATAGTTACTTACTAATTAATAAGTATGTTAAAGAAAAGGTGCACAATTGAAGGAGTTTAACTTAGGTCTATTATACTCTTAGTATTTAAAATATACTTTTATTTCAAAGGGTAAATTCTTGAAAATATAAATTTAAAACCCCCAATGGTTTAAAGACGGGTTGTTCTAGCCGCCAATTGTGAGTGTCATGGAGAATTCAGCAGTTAGGAAAATGGCTGTACCTTCAAATCTTCAATCTTGAGTAAAGAACGCAGCTGTATTCAACAGCTAAGATATGGCTGTACCTGACCATTGTGTAAAGGATAACATGTTGACTCTGTGAAGAACACAGCTGTGTTCATCAGCTAGGAAACCCCACCTTGACATAGGGTGCTTGGTAATCATGACATGGTTCAAGTGTGTAGCTCAATGTTCAGTAAACAGCACTTGCAGTCAGACAGATAAATAAGCTCTTTCACCTTATGTCAATTAATGAAAGATATGTGTGTCTGGCCCTGAATAGAAGGAATAAATCCTCAAAAGAGAACCAGAGACACCCAGTGTATGTTCAGATCACCAAGTGGACTGATACCATACATACTTATAAACAGGAGTTTAAAATGAGTGGAGGTTTAACCCTTTCAGGCCCACTGTCCTCTTTAGGGGACATGCCATTTATTAATTTATTGTGAAGGCCAGGCCATTGTTTAGTGCCTTAAAACCCACTGTCCTGTCAACGGGACACTTTGGCAACACACAAATATCAATCTCAGCTCATTCTGTTGGATTTTACTAAAGTTACAAAAAACATATGACGTCAGGGCACGGCCGCCACAGCAGTATCAATTTGGTGGCATGACATACACACTATATATTTGTTATACATTATTATAAATTCAACAATTATGAAAGGTTGGTACATTATTTTATTCGTTAGCAACGTAGGAACAATAATATAACAGTATTTTGCCTCATCAATCACTAATAAAGTTGCTGGATTTTTTTGTTTTTCGATGTCTCCTGGAGAGGACAGCAGGCAAATGTTGTAGTCTATCGTCCCATTACTCCATGGTGAGTTGTAATGGTTGTAATGCTTAGAACAGCTGGGTACAGTTTGTCAACAGTGATTTAGTGGTTTTTGTTAGAGGTTATAAAATGAGTTACAGAAAAGTGGAAGCTAACAATATTTTAGACCTAATTGAAAGTGGCAATGTGCCTGAACTTGAATATCTAAGACAATGAAGTTCATTGTCTTAGATATTCAAGTTCAGGCACATTGCCACTTTCAAAAATTCACCAAAATTCACTTCATATTTTGTTGTAGTATTTACTTGTTCATTATGAACAAGTAAATACTACAACAAAATATGAAGTGAATTTTGGTCATATTGGTTTTGAAATGGAAAGAGATAATTATTGTTGTTTACTAAATAAATTCATAACATTGTGTATCTGATTTTGTGTCTATTTTTCATTGGATCCCTAGTGTTTATCATGTCCACTTTGACATACGCCCAGTGTCCTCTAGAGGGGACATATATTTGAACAAAAAATTTTTAAATGAAAATTTTAATGAAAATTATTTCTATGTGTTCACTGTAATAAGCAAGTGGTAATGCACATAATAACAGCTTCTTACTGGAATGGTTGAACATTTTCATTACAAACTTAAAAAAAACTAAAAAATTTAAATTTTTTTGAAAATTTGGTTGTTTTGTTTTTAGTTTAATTTTATTATTTTAATTTATAAGTAAGTAGTTTTTGTATTTATACAGTTTTTAATACTTTAGTTCTGTAAACTACTAAAAAAAATATAGCTTTTATTTTTATTTATGAGAATTTCACTTTAATATTTGCCCAGTGTCCTCTACAAAGGACAAGCCTGTAAATTACAAAAAAAAAAAAAATAAAAAAATGGTCAAAACATGTTTAGAGGACTTGCCTTTATTGATTTATATCAATATATTAGTTTTTTTCCAAAAAAATCAAACTTGGGCCTCAAAGGGTTAAAGTTAAATTCCAATTTCTAAGATTTAATACACTATTGCTTGTTCATCATAATAAAATTGGTTTTGTACCTTTCCAAAAAGGGACTTATGTTTATCCTCTACAGTATATTATTGAGTATTAACTGCACTCACACCAAAGCGTTCCACTAGTTGTGGCAATTAGTTTACAAAATACTAAATACAACTACTTTTTTGTCTGTCACTTTCACTAAATTTTGGTTTCCCATTTAATGCCAGTAAGATCAAAGAAAGTTGACAACTAAAAGTGGAAGATTTGTTGCTGCGAGCAAGCAGCTTGTAGAAAACTAATGGGAAACTGTTCCTCCTCCACGCGCCCTGGACGAGTTGTCAGGCGTTTTCCACTTGATGCTCTAAATTAGAGAAGAGCAACTTTTAGTAGTCAACTTCGAATGATTAAAACGTGCCTTTACGTATTACTCAAAAGTTTAATTTGATAACTTAAGAGTAGGGTGCAGCTAATTGAAGCAAATAGCATCCAACCTAAATGTTAGACGCCGAAACTGTCAAGAAATGTAGTAAGTTACTGTAGCCTACTTGTAAATTTCAATAAATTAAACACAAAATGATGTGGTAAGTTTTTGGAAAATGTTGCTAAGCCTAATAATAATCTACAAAAAAAACTCAAATGAGAAAAACAAGTTTAACAAAACGTGGACTTGGTTTTTTTTTTAACTCTCCCTTCACATCCTAATCTCTAGCCCAAAACCGGTTTACACATAACTTAAGGCTAAGCCATGAAGGTCACAACATTTTTACATTGCCACAGCCATAATTGATAGGTATGGCATTTGAATCCAAAACCACAGAGACTGTAGGACAGAAGTCTTGCCCTATACCATTAGACAAAAGGTTGCTTCTTCCATGGATGTGGTTTGGTTATCAATACTTTGTACTTGTATGCTCAAGACTATCTGGAAGGTGCTAATATAGGTAAGACCTAAATCATTCTGTAACTTTATTTAGATGATAACTCTGGTATACAGTAGAACCTCAGTTACTCGAACCTTGATATCTCTAATTCTTCAATATCTCGATTTTTTACAAATCCCCTTGAAATCCACATTAATCATAATGTTAAAAGTACCTTTATAAGTCGAAGTTTCTAAATATTTAACCTCAATAAGTCGAATTTTAACAACTTTTGAACAGTAACATTCTACCTCTGTAACTCGAATTTTCCCGTCATCGAGCCTCAGTAACTCGAAGTTTACCTTTTTAAGTCGAAGTTCGCACGAATGTGCCTCAATAATTCGAAGTTTTGCCTTAACAGTGCAAGTCAGTTGTCTTTTGATTCCTGTCGAGACGTGCAAATCCAACTTCCTGTGTTTGCTTCCTGATGTGTCTGTTTGGCTAGGTACTGTAGTCAGTAGTCTGCCAGTTGTTGAGGTGGTTTTTACGTTGCATTTTGTTTATCACACTAGTGCAGTACTGTATTTTCCCTTTAAATACTCTCTACATAATTTTTGTATGTACAATATTGTGGCTATTCAGTATTTTAATATAGATAGTTACAAGACAAATAAATCTAAATTATTTTTGTTGTTACAGTAGCTTGTTTTTACAGTATATATAAAGAGTTTGACTAACGTTTGCTTTAAACAGACATTATACACAGAAAATGTAGTTCCGTGTATGGATGATTTAATGTATACTGTATTATTGTTTTGTATTTTGTACAGTATTTAAACTATTTTTTTTATTTAACATGTTTTTTATTTTTATGTAATTTATCAAACTTATTGCGAAATAATAAATACAGTAGGCCTACTTCATGTGCATTAAAACTTTTATTTTGCTTCAAAAGTTACTCTTCAGTACGTATAAATACAGTTTGAGTTAGATTTATAAAGGTTTAACACGTTAAAGTCGAGTTATAAAGGCCGTGACGTAACATCACTGTCATACCCCAACACCTCAGTATCTCAAACTTTTCATATGGAACCTTCATAACTCGAACCTCTTTAAGTTGACAAACTTGATAACTCGAATTTTTATCATAACCCCTTCAGATTCGAGATATTGAGGTCCTACTGTATTAGGCTAAGCTTTTTCTCTAAGTCAGTTAACTCAACGAAAAGGTATAAAAATATACTGTATAAAGAATGCAGCTGCAAGGTGGAGTGATATAAGCATTGATGAAAATGTTTCCACCGCATACTCACTGATCAATTTATAATCAACTTTTTATGAGATTATCACATTTCCTTAGATTTTTTTTACCAGACTATTAAATAAATTTGAAATTTTTCTCGGCAAAATATTTTTTTAATTAGACATAATGTGAGGTAAGTTTTTAATAAAATAACTAAACATATGGTTTGGAAAAAGACCATGAATTTTTTATGTTCCATGTATGTTAGTTTTCAGGCAAAGGAAATACTAATTCCAGAAATAACATTTATTGAACAATCAAACATAACCTTTATAATAGCATTTAAATACTGAGAAAATTCAATCAATCACCTCATTAATACGAGTAAAAAATATGTTTATCTTTCATTAAGTGTTCATTGTTTGAATCCAATTCTGAAAAGTGAACAATTTATTCTAAACAGAAGAAACAAAAATATCTTGAAAAAGTTTTAACCGAAAATGTAGGCCACAGGGCGAGACCTTTAAGTGACTGGACAAATTAATGAATAGTAGGCACCTAAATATTAAAAATAATTAAAAGCTAGGACAAGTACTATA